GAGCAATAGTTCAATCACTAAATCCTCACCTTATAGGCACTGGAATCCCATATAGACACAGTTCATATCCCAGCAGCCCTGTTTCCCACCCAGCTCCCTGCTTGTGGCCTGGGAAAGCAGTAGAGCACGGCCCAAAGCCTTGGGACCCTGCACCCATGTACAGGAAAGAGCTCCTGGCTCCTGGCTTCAACTCTGGCCGTTGCATCCACTTGGGGAATGTACCAGAGGACAGAGGATCTTTCTGTCCCTCCTTCTCTTTGTAAGCCTACCTTTCCAACAAAAAATAATCTTTTAAAAATATTTTTTAAATAAATGGATTTTAATAACAAAGAGCATATCAGAAAATGATGGTGTTGTGGTGTCAGGTGTCAGAGCACAAGTCAAGCTGCCGCTCACAACATCGTGTGCCGTGTTGGAGTGCTGGTCGGAGTCCCAGCTGCTCTGCTTTCCAGCCCAGCTTCCTCCTAATAGCCTGGGAAAGCAAAGATGGCCTGTGTGCTTGTATCCTTGCCATCCACATGGTAGCTCAAGATAAAGCTGTCTGGCCCAGGCCTGGTTATTGCCAACATTTTGCCAATAAAATGTAGCTGAAAGATACCACTGGCTCCCCTCCATCCTTCCAAATTTTTCTTGAAAAAAAAAAAAAAGGGAAGAGAGCATTTGAAGTTCAGTAGAGCATATAAGAAAAATATGAACTTACAGAGCGGGAAGTCGGAGCAGCAAACAAGGAGGAGAAGGTAAAGACTGGAATCAAGTGTGACTTGTGTGTCTGTGTCTTCAACATCCAGAACCAAGGGGTACCCCATAAAGAACCATGGACTCAAAGAGCAAAACCACAGACGGCTAGAGAATGGGCTGGCAACACTTCTCAGGACACACACTGGAGGGAAACAAGAAGACTCAGAAAGATAAAAGATTCACAAAGCAATGGAAGTCCAATCCAGCCAAACCTTTTATACATTTAAGTCTTTACTGGGTACTGTGTTACACACTTGGAAGTCATAAAGAAAACAGAAAAAAATAAGGGAAACAAGTATTTTACAGGATTTTGGGAGTATATATTCATAAGTTTAAACCAAAAAAAAAGGGGGGGGGGGTTTCTGGAGGACAGCCTGGCTGTCATTATCCATTTTTTTTTCCGTGACTGGACTTCTAGAATGTCAATTCTTTTTCCTGACCGGAAATGGTCTATGACTCTGACTTTGCTGCCCCCTGGTGGTTCTGAAAACAAAGCTCTCAGCTAAGCATTTTTTCCCTTTTCCATGTTGACTTCTCCACATTTTGCTGCTTTTTCTTTTTTCTTTCTCTCTCTTTCTCTTTTTAAAAAAGATTTATTTATTTTTATTGGAAAGGCATGTCAGGTTTACAGAGAAAAGGAGAGACGAAAATATCTTACATCCACTGGTGCACTCCCCAAATGGACCCAACAGCCAGAGCTGAGGCAATGTGAAGCCAGGAGCCTCTTCCAGGTCTCAAGCACCAGTGCAAGATCCCAAGGCTTGCGGCCATCCTCCACCGCTTTCCCATGGAACAGTCACACTTGAGGTTCAGCAAGTGCTGGAGCCCCAGAAGCTCCAGCCTGCTGTGAGATAGGGAGGAGAATTCCAGAGGCTGACTTCAGGGTTAGCAGCTGGACGGCGGGAAGAGAGTCAGCTTGAATGCCCTTAAACTGGAGACAGGGAGGGGCCTTGCAGCTTCTTTGGCTTAGGAAAGCTTCCCAGAAAGGCCTAGCAGAAGGGGAGAGACAAAATTTGGCCCCATCTCAGCCCTTGACCTCCAGTCCCAACACAGTCCCAAGTTCAAAGTCAGCCTTTTGGAGCCCAGTGCAATAGTTCAATTGGCTAATCCTCCCTCTCCCACCCCATCCCACAAGTACTGGGATCCCATATTGGCACTGCTTTGCATCCCAGCTGCCCCATTTCCCATCCAGCTCCCTGCTTGTAGCCTCGGAGAGCAGTGGAGAATGGTCCAAAGCCTTAGGACCCTGCACCCCTGTGGGAGACCTGGAGGATGTTAGTTATTTAAAAAGGTGCTAGAGTTCTAGTTCTAGTTCATACGATATTTTACGCACAGCTAATTCCGGCAACCTGGTTCTTTACCGTGAGCTGAAAACACCAGACGCAACAAGGTATCTTAGGAGGTTTATTCCAGCGGGGCAGGAACAGGGGAAGGGGAAGGGGGAAGGGAGGCCAGAAGGAGGAGAGAAGGGAAGAGCAAAGAAGAGAGAGCCGCACCTGGGGCTTTTTTTTTTTTTTTTTTTTTGTCTGCCAGGTGTGGGGGCGGGGATTGGGAGGGTTTGAGGGCAGGCCCCAGGGATTAGTGCCTGGGGATGATTGGTGAGTGGGCGGGGTTGGGGAAGCGGCTGGGAGATTGGGGGTGGGGTTCTCAGGTAGAATGCCAGGTTACATCTGATTGGTGGATGGCCAGACTGGCACGAATTTCGTGAGCTGTGAGGAAGAAGAAATGGCGCAGGGTCCAGGGTGGGATACTGGAATAAGTCCTTACAGAGGAAGTTCCTGGTTTCATATCAGATCAGCTCTGGCCATTGTGGCCACTTGCAGAGTGAATTAGTGGACAGATCTTTCTCTCCGAAAACCTGCCTTTTGAATAAAAATAAATAAGGCTTAAACACACACACAAAGTAGTCTTTCAATGCTCTCTCCCTATCCTTCCTTACTCCTGTCTCCTATCTCTCCCCATTTCCTCCTTCCTCCTCTCTCTCAACTTTGCCACCTGGAGCAGCTTGCGCATAAAGACAGGATGCCATAGATGAGAAGGGACAGTGCACAAGGGCCACTCTCCTACTGCTCAGCCTGAACTAAAACTCCCCCTCCCTTTCCAGATCCAGAAAATTATCCTACAGTACTTGAAGATTCCCAAACTGTCATTTTTCATTGAAAGCTCTCCCATGATGCCTTTGTAAAACCATTTATGTGTGCTTTTGTGATTTTTTTTTTCTTTCTGGAAAGAAATACAATGATAAGCAATTGGTGTGTGGTGTAGCCATCAAATTGCCACCCTGGGGCCCGGCACGATGGCGCAGTGGTTAAGGTCCTTGCCTTGCACGCCCGGGATCCCATATGGGTGCCAGTTCTAATCCCAGCGGCCCCACTTCCCATCCAGCTCCCTGCCTGTGGCCTGGGAAGGCAGTAGAGGTCGGCCCAGGGCCTTGGGACCCTGCACCTGCTTGGGAGCCCTAGAAGAAGCTCCTGGCTCCTGGCTTCAGATTGGCGTAGTTCCAGCTGTTGTGGCCCCCTGGGGAGTGAATCATCGCATGGAAGATCTTGCTCTCTATCTCTCTTCCTCTCTGTATATCTGATTCTACAACAAAAATGAATCTTTAAAAAAAAAAGTTGGTCATCGTCAAAATGTTTGCAATATTTAATGTATTGATACCTAGTTTAATGTTTTAAATTGTTTTGTTTGAAATTCAGAGTATCAGAAAGAGAAATAAAGGGAGACACAGAGTAAGAGATTTCCATCTGCTGGTTCACTGCCCAAACATCCATGATTGCACCAGGACAAAACCATGAACCTGGAACTCCACCTGAGTTTCCTCTGTACGGACAGCAGGGTCCCAAAAACTTGGACTATCACCTGTTGCTTTCCCAGATACATTAGCAGGGAGCCGGATGGGGAATGAAACAGCTGGGGCTTGGACTGGCCTCTGACTAGTAGCTTAACCCACTGTGCCACAACACCGGCTCCTGCCTCCTCAGCAACTTTTGATCCAGGTTTCAGATCCAGATGCGCTTCAAGGCGGTGTGATACATGCAGTCCACTAACTAGTTACTCAAAAGGCGCATTCTCTCCTTCTTCCTTCCTAGCAGCACCTCTGTGCTCATGTCTAGGCAGATGTCTCTTCTAGCCCCAGGTGTGAAGCCAGGTGTGAGGCATCCCATTGGCTTCCCAACTCCCTGTGGCCACTCCCGAGGGAGCTACCACAGCCACTGTAGGGTCACCAGCCAGGACACTGGGCATCATGAAGGCAGGAGGGAGCCCGGGCACTGGCATCCAGCCCCACACTACTTCCCTCTGCATCCAACGTGAGAAAATTCTACATCTTTGTGACTAAGCCGCAGCTGGTTGGGTTTACTTCTGGCAGTCCAAGGAATTCTTAATGAATAAACTAAAGAATGACACTCATTCTTTCATTCATTCAATAGACATTTATAGGGTGCTTTTCTAACTGAGAGCGTATAGGCTCTACTTAAGAAACTAGAACTCAGGCCCGGCGCAGTAGCCTAGCAGCTAAAGTCTTAACCTTGCACATACCAGGATCCCATATGGGCGCCAGTTCTAATCCCAGTGGCCCTGCTTCCCATCCAGCTCCCTGCTTGTGACCTGGGAAAGCAGTCAAGGATGGCCCAAAGCCTTGGAGCTCTGCACCCACATGGGAGATCTGGAAGAAACTCCTGGTTCCTGGCTTCAGATCAATTCAGCTTCAGCCATTGCACTCATTTGGGGAATAAGCCAGCAGATGGAAGATCTTTGTTTTGTCTTTCCTTCTCTCTGTAAAATCTGGTCTGCCTTTCCAACAAGAATAAATAAACTTTTTAAAAATGAAACTTTCTAAAATCATCTTGGTTTCAAGAATCTAGCGGTCTCCCCTCCCTTCAGTGAAACTGCTGACGGAGCAAGCTGCCTGTCTTGGAGCCAAGGACTGGCCCTCGAGGAACGAGGTGCAAGGAGAAAACCTTTACCCAACCCTGTTCCGCATCGAACCCACATGCCCCAATACAAGAAGGTCAACAGGCCCAAGCCAGGGATTGATCTGCACCTCCCGTGGGGCTTGAGACAAGTCTAAGAGAGTCATCCTAGGCTTAGCTTCCCCCGCATCTCCTGGAGCCCCACGCTCAACCAACACCCATGTCAGTGTTCTCAGAAAGAACCTATCAGCCCTCCTCTTTAGTCTCACTCCCACAGCCACACTCAGAACCCCTTGTTCTCCCTTGAGCTCTCATCTGGAACCCCAAAGAACACACACACACGAGGGTCAGAAGCAGCCTGTATTGGGGAACAGAAGCACACACACCCACTGTGTGACACAGGGCCAGCTCAACTCTCCACGCAGCAGGAGGAAGGAAGCAGAGTCAAGAAGGCCAGGAGGGCTCGGCACAGCCCCAAGATGGCACCTTCTCCTGGCTGCCAAGCCACATCTCCCAGAGTCGGCAAAAGCTCCAGGGAAGTCGGGACAGCTAGGGCTCCAGGACCTCTGCAATAGAAGGATTATCAAGTCACAAGTGTGCCCTCCAGGTCCCAGCTACCCAGGGAGTTTTATCTACTGTCAAGAACTTCGGCTCCCGAGTCCTGGACCATCCAAACCAAACTGGCACTGAGGGCTTACTCAGAGAACTACCCTGTATCTCCTCTTGCGAAAACGGAAGACCCATCTGTTCCTTCACCCACCCTTCACCTAACCCCTAGGCATGCCTCATCCATTCCCACCTCTATGCCTTCAGGAATGATCTCGGGTTATGTTTGGCATGTTGCTCAGCTAGCCCCACTTCATCACATAAGCTGAGTCTTGGGGTTTGGGTCAAATCACAAAGACCTTCCTGGGGAGCTGCACCCACTCCAACCTCCCACAAGCCCACACTGCTTACATGAAGGATCCTGTGCGTGGCACAGATTCTTTTTCTCCAACTAGATTCTTCTTGACCTTTAAAAGTTCCCTTCCCAGCACCTCCGCCAATGCGCCACACACAGCAGTTAAGTCTGTAGTTGCCCACAGACTGGACCCACCTGACTGGGAATCGGACCTGACTGTCCAGTTGGTGTGGGTGGTGTGTTCAGGCAGCAGGCCTCGTGGGACACAGAAGCGGCCGCACCCTGACTTGCAGCACTTCTCCCCAGCCTGACAGTTCTCATCCATCATACAGTTGACGATGCACAGACCCACCAGAACACTGGGACAACTGCCTGCTCGCCCTGTCGGGAAAACAGCAGGAAGAAAAAAAAAGGGGCGGGGGCAGAACGCCGGCTCATGGTCTCCAAGCTCCCATGTAGAATCTGGACACTGACCGAACAGGTGAACACTCAGTTCCCAACCCACATTAAATCAAATCAAAACCAAGGTCTCTGGGAAGTGGCGAGGCTGCAGGGTCCAGGCTTTTGTAAGGACCTTAAGGGGGTTCTGAGTCAAGGGGACTCAAAGTCTTCCAACTGTGTCACAAAGAGAGAGGTGACTCAGGAGTTGATAGCTCTGCAGGTATGGAGACAAAGATGGGCAGAGTAGAGAAGGAGTGAGACCCCCTAGACCACCACTCCTCTCCTCCTGTACTTGGGCCTTGTCACTTCTCACAGAGGCTTTTTCAGACACCTGGAAAAATTACGGTATCCCCTGCCCTGTGCTTCCGTAGTTATATCACACTTTATTATAATGCCTTGTTAAATTATCTATCTTCCCTGATAGGCTAGAAGTTCTATGTTGAAGTCTCTCCCCAAGGCCTCCAGCTTTGCCTGGGAATGTTAGAGACCAAGATGACACCTGCCCCAAGGATTCTGAAAGGGCACTCCACGGAGCCTGGCACAAAAGAGGGAACTCAAAAAACTTCACTATTTTTTAAAAAATAGTGAAGAAACAAAAGATTCATCACCTAACTGCCTTCATCTATATATTACAATGGAATTGGAAGGTAAGGCTATCTTGGTGTGAAAAAAAGTTTCAAAATCCATACATATAAGGAGTCTTTAAGATGTTCACCAGAAAAAAAAAAAAAAAAGACTATTGTGAAAAAAAATAAAACTAGGCATGGATTTCAGCTTTTCTGCATCCAAATAAATATTATTTTGCAAATATTTTATATTTTCATTTACTTAAAAGGCACAGAGAGGAATGCCCACAATAGCTAGGACTGGGCCTGGGTGAGGCCAAGAGACTGGAACTCCATCCGGCTCCCCTATATGGGAGGCAGGGACTCAAGTATTGGGGCCAGCATTTCTTCCTCACAGGAAGCCTCAATGGGACACTGGAGGGATCAGGAGCAGTATAGCCAGGACCCTAACTGGCACTCCAGTATGGGATGTGGGTGTCCCGGGCAATAGTTTAACCCACTGTGCCATGACCACCATACCCACTTGTTCTTTTCTCTTTTATTTATTTATTTATTTATTTATTTATTTTCATTTTTACTTGAAAAACAGAGAAGCAGAGAGAGAGAGAGAGAGATGTTCCATTCGCTGGTTCACTCTGCAAAACCTTCTAACAGTCAGGGTTATGTCAGACTGCAGCCAGGAGCCCAGAACTCCCGCCAGGGCTCCCACCTAGGCAATGGGGTCCCAAGCACTTAAACTCTCAGCTGCTGCTTCTCCAGGTGCACACTGGCAGGAAGCTGGAGCTGGAAGTGGATCCGGCACTCTACACTGGCCACTGTGATAAAGAACATGGGCATTCCAGGTGGCGTCTGTCCCACTGAGTCAAATACACATGATCAACTTATCTTTTCAATTCCTTTTTCTGCAAACGTTTGGAAGAAGCACCTCATAACTTGCTTCCAATCACAAGTTCACCTCATACAGGAGGGGTAATTTTGTACTAAAAATTACGTCTGGGGGCTGGCACTGCATCTCAACAGAATAATCCTCCATCTTCTTCAAGTGCTGGTATTCCATACGGGTGCCAGTTCATGTCCTGGCTGCTCCACTTCCTATACAGCTCCCTGCTAATGGCTTGGGAAAGCAGCGGAGGATGGGCCAATGCCTTTGGACAGTTCATCCTTGTGGGAGACCTGGAAGAAGCTCCCGGCTCCTGGCTTCAGCTCTGGCCATTGTGGCCACTTGGGGAGTGAACCAGTGGATGGAAGATTCTCTCTCTACCTTTCAAATAAATAAGTAAGGAGGAGGAGAAGAGGAAGATGAAGATGAAGCAGCAACAGTAGGTGTGCTCCCTTGCCACCCGCCCTGCCTCCCCCAGTCCTCCGAATGGTAACGTGTCTGCTTGGCCCTAGGAGAGTTCCTTTGGGTTGGAGGCTCTGGGGCACAAGAAGTCTGACAAATCTGGATGCTCCCTAAAATGAAATAGACCACTTGGGGCTCCCTCCCATGTCATCGTTACAGTGCAGAAAACACACAGGTGTCCCTTCCCAGAACAGTCAACGTACCTCCCTCAATGTCTCCGCGGCAGACGTGACCACAGCCGGTGCTACAGCATTTATGCCCCTGGGGACAGGACAGGTCTCCATCACACAGTTCTTCACATGGAAGGGGGTCAGCAGGACATTCACCACCAACTTCTGCCAGAGTCAAAGCATCGGAGCCCAGAGCATGAACTACTTTCTTCATTGCATTCCAGGTACATATTTATAGGTGTCATGGCAGTGCTCCCTGGCATTTTATATCTTTGCCATTTCTCTCTCTCTCTCTCTCTCTCTCTCTCTCTGAGAGAAGATCCCGACCATAAACTATGGAATTGATTTCAGCACTTACGGCTTAAAAACCACAATTCAACAGCTCTGACTGTGGCAAACACACTACGTGCCAACCCCACGTTTGTGTTCCCTTCTGTCTTACTGCGGCAGACATTTCCACTGGTGGCCTTGAAGGCACTGCATGCCCAGAGATTCGTGCCTTTGTGCAGGCCCCTTCTCATGCATGTCACCGTATAGCTTCAGCAAACTATGTGGGACATTAGCAAGTGTGACCCAAGCAGAAGTCTGCCAGGCACTTAGATGTTGGGGCTGCTTATCTTACAACATTCTCTTGTCAGAAACCAAGTGCCAAGCCAGAACACAGCCTAGGCTCAGACAACAGGTAAGGCCCCCACAGACAGAGAATACTGAGGCAGACAGACCACCCAGCTCACTCTAATCCCCACTTGGCTCCCAGCTAAATGCAGCTGCCAAGTGACCTTAGCTACATCCTGTGGTCACCCAAGCCCCCCCACATCTGTGAGAAAGAGTTACCCACTGCTGATGTAAGCTACTAAGTTTGAGGATGACTTGTTACGTAGCTACAGACAACCTAACACTGGAGGTCCAGCCAAACTGATGCACTTCCCCACATCCTTTTCCAAGCAGAGTGGCCACAAAGTAAGACATAACTTAGGTGACTTCTGAATTTCAATAAACGGAGTACTTCCCTTCCAAACTGCACCTCATTCTTTCTTTTCCCAGTCTGAAACAGACACGTCACAGAGGTAGAACCACCTTATTCCAACAGGAAGCAAGCAGCATGAGGACCAAGTCAAGGACTTGGTGAAGGACAAAAACAGCTTCACTTTTGCTGGTACCATGAAACCACCTGTCCAGCCTAGCCACCTACCAGGAACTCCCTGTTATGTGAGAGAAACGAACCCCTATTTGGTTAAGTTTCTGTTGTATGCAGCCGGGCACATGCTTGCTCTCCTCCTTCATCATTGCTGAGCAGGAAACTCAGAGAAGAGAAAGTGCTTGCCCAGAGGTAGCACAGGAGTCGGGGACAACACAGCACAGAATGGAGACGCCTTCCACCTCTCCACCTTTCAAACACGTAGCAGGTAGCCAGGTCCTCAGAGGCAGACGCATCCAAAGGCTGCAGCCAAACCAAACCAACTCGCCATGACTCATCCATCTCAGTGTTTATTTCAAATTTATGAAATGAAGGGAAAGGTAACAGGCAATTAAAGCTTTTATAAAGGAAAGAAAAAACCAGTCCAGGCAAGTATGATGGCCTGTGCCTGGCTCCAGAAAGTCTGTCGTGATGGAACAAGCCAGGATATGACTCCAAGGAAAACATGGGAAGCCAGACAACTGAGGTGCTTACCCTGCACTCCAAGATTTTCCCCAACAGCCCTTATTGCAAACAGTCTATGCCACTGCAACATTTCCAAATCAGGTGTCCTGATGTTTCTCTTTCAGAAAATATGATCATTGAAACCCTCAGACGCACCTGCCGACACCGCCCCAGCTTCCTGACAAATGCTGACATCCGTGTAACAATGAACAAAGTTTCTCTGTTCAAGAGTTGAGAAACCTAGACATAAATATCTCCTGTTGGGAAAAGTCAGTACCATCAATTCCATGTGGAGTTGAAACCATATACTCTATAAACTAGGTACCTAGAGCACTGCACCTCCCAGCTCTTCCTGTGTTGCTGAGCTTGACCCGGAAGTGGTCAATCGCAGGAGCATCCTGCTCTTCTCCAGCCTCTGTCCCAGGACTTTATCCTGACTTCCTTGTGCTCCCTTTTGCCAAACTTGAGAAGCAATAAAGGGGCACTCAGTGAAGGTGTTAAGGCTCACACAATCAAAAAACATCCTTCGTGGGTCCAGTGCAGTAGCCTCACCTTGCAAGCACCAGGATCCCATATGGGCATGGTGCATGTCCTGCTACTCCACTTCCCAGCCAGCTCCCTGCTTGTAGCCTAGGAAAGCAGTAGAGCACAGCCTAAAGCCTTAGGACCCTGGACCCATGTAGGAGACCCAGTGGAAGCTCCTAGCTTTTTGCTTCAGATCAGTTAGCTCCGACCACTGTGGCCACTTGGAGAGTGAATCAACAGATGGAATATCTTTTTGTCTCTCCTTCTCTCTGTAAATCAGACCTGCCTTTTCAAAAAAAATTTTTTTTAAATTATAATAAAGGAAAGAAAACATCCTTCGTGACCAGCACTGAGCAAGCCCACCTACTCCAATAGGCTTGAATGTCTGTCAAATGACACTCTCACTTGAACATCAGGAATTCACAAGGCCTCACTACCCCCAGGCCCGACTACACCCCCTTTCCTTCACACTCTGAAATCCAGTTCTCTAGCAATGTGGTCTTCTGATCCCTTCCACATCTCCCACAGACACTGCAACAACATGTCTCATCGAGACCCTTGGAGACACTGTCTTGAGCCTTTCACTAGCTAGCAATGTCTGGTCCTCATGAGTGGTGGTTCCCACAATCACCTGACCAGGAAATCGGGAAAAGGAGCGGGAATGACGCCCTGGATGGGGAGAGCATCCCTCTATCGTCACCATCCCCAAATGCCAAGTTATTAGCAAATCAGTAACATGGCAAAAGCCCAGGAGACAGTCACACGCCCCATCTTGGCTCCAGTGTTCACTGTGTCTGAGATAAGAAAGCCAGTTCCTGGGAGAAATTAGAACTTCAGAGCTTCTTAAGCCAAGAAGGGCTTCCTGGGCTACCAAATTATTCTATTCTATTCTATTCTATTCTATTCTATTCTATTCTATTCTATTCTATTCTAATTCTATTCTATTCTATTCTGTTATCTCTCTCTGTCTCTCTGTCTCTCTGTCTCTCTCTCTCTCTCTCTCTCTAATTCAGAGACAGACACCCAAGTTGGGAAAGCGTTTGCCTAAAGCCAAAGGTGGCAGAACCGGGTCTCAACCTCCAACTCTGGCACTGAGTTCTTTTGGTTTAAACCAAATCTTTGTGATTCCCTACATTCCAGCAAGGATCACCCTGAAACACATCAGTCGGGACAGGAATTCACTCAACTTGGTGTTTCCAAAACATAAAACCCAGTGGGAAGGGCAAGAGATGCAAGTGCGTTAAGCCATCACTTGGAAATGTCCATATCCCAAATCAAAAGTGCTTGGTTCAAATCCTGGTTATTCCAACCCAGCTTCCTGCTAATGAACCTAAGCAGCAGATAACAGCTTAAGTACTTGGTTTCCTGCCATTCACATGGGAACCTTGGATGGAGTTTCTGGACCTTGACTCCTGACTCAGGACTAGTTAGACCTAGTTACTATGGGCAGTGGTTGGAAGAAATCTATTTCTCTCTCTCCCTTTCTCTTTCTCTGGGCAACCAGAGTTTTAGAAAAAGGCCAACCAGACACATGGTAACTGCTCCGCCAACTCACACACAGAATGTGTTATAACAGGCAAAGCTGCGAGTCCCAGAGCAGCTGCCTTTCCTCCAGAGGGGAGGTGGGCCACAGCGGGGCAGGCAAGAGGACAACTCCTGGCTTCATCCAAATCTTGATTCCTCACCCATTCCTCCCCAGCAAGCAACACCAACCTCACCCTGCACCATTCTCTCCCTCAGCGTCCACAGCCACACCCAGTCCCACAGCCTGTGATCAAGGACCTGCAGCCCCCCACTTTTCCACACCTGCAATGTCACCTCCCACCTAAGTCACCCCAGTGGTTGCTGAACTAATGCTTCACCTGCTTTACCTGCCCACATGCTTCTTCAAACATGAAAAGAGCAAATGAAAACTAGACTGGGCCCAGACTGGTGGCCTAGTGGCTGAAATCCTTGCCTTGCATGTGCCTGCATCCCATATAGGCACTGGTTCTTATCCTGGCAGCCCCACTTCCCATCCAGCTTCCTGCTTGTGGCCTGGGGAAACAGTCGAGGACAACCCAAAGCCTTGGGACCCTGCACCTACATGGGAGAGCCAGAAGAAGCTCCTGGCTCCTGGCTTTGGATTGGCTGAGCTCCAGCCATTGCGGCTACTTAGGCAGTAATGAGTGACTGGAAGATCTTCCTCTCTGTCTCTCCTTCTCTCTGTAAATCTTCCTTCCAAACAAAATAACTAAAAAAAAAAAAACAAAAAACTAGGCCCAAACCTGCTTTTCAACCCCCTCAAAGACTTCCTTCTGTGCTTATAATAACAACTAAGAGGGAAGTCCTGAACACCACCCCCCAAGCCTACCCCTTCAACCTCAACTGGAACCATTCTCCCTCTCCGCTGTTCTCCAGACACGCTGGCCTCCTTTCACTTCCTTTGCCCTTGCAATGGCCTCTTCATAGCTTTCAGCGCAATGGCCACCTCCTTCTCATTCTCAGAGTTTAAAATGGCACATTTTTTCACACATTTCTCGGAGTTCAAAATGGCCCTTGTAATCACCCTCAGAGCTCACAGCACGACTTGTGGTTATTTTCCATTTGTCTACTTGGCTGTTTCCTGTCTTCCTCACCACGAGCGAGTGCCGTGCCAGCACCACTGGCTACCCAAATGCCAAGCAAGGCAGAGACACTATGCACTCAACAAACGAGTGTATGAGCAAGCAAGTAAGTGGGCAGGTCAGTCTCCAGCCGAGTGGGGAAAGCTCTCCAACAGAGCGGTGTTGGGTGTAACTCCACAAGCTACTGAGCATTCCTTGGCAGCTTTAGTGTAGACGTCTTAAGATGCGTTTCCTCTAAACTGCATCCTCAGACTGTGAGGTAAATATCCTCACTCCCATTTTATAGATGACAAAAGCGAGGCTCAGGGAGATAAAGGGACTCGCCCAAGTTCACACACCAAGCATGCAGAAGAGCTAGGAGTCACACTTACGACAGGCCACCACTGCTAATAGGAGGAGGAATACTTGTAAAATACAGGCTCCTACCAAGTTAGCCATGCCCCCCAGCAGGTCCTAGATCAGTGGGACACCCTTCCTCTGGCCTGTCCACCTAACTCTGAGGAAAAGGAAGCCCAATCTGCGTTGGCCAGGGGCCCAGGCAGCTCGCAGAGCCACTATGCCCAGGTGCCAGCCTCAGCCTCGGCCCCCACAAGTTAGCCATGACAGCTTCAAACACTGACCAGATTGTCCCAAGCCCTACAGGCGGGCAGGGAGCCACCCGAGACAGGTTCCCAGGGCTGGACCGTGAGCATCCTGCCAAGGAGTACAAACTTCTATTCTTCCTTGTGGGCAGGCTGCCCAAGGCAGCTGCCCCCGCCAGGCACAAACAGCTTCAGTGGGAACTGGGAAAGGACATACTACCTGGAGTGGTGTGGCTGGAAAGAAAGATGTTGTCATGTGTCATGGAATTTCAGAGTTTCCGAGAGGAAGTGAAGAGGGGAAGAGAAACTGTTTGTCCCACTCAACCCCCTTTAGGAGGCAAGATGAAGAAAGTGACTGTATACTGAGTGCCATTTTACATACTATGCATCCTTACAACCATCCAGTTTCATTGTATTTTGTCTTCCCATCTTACAGGGAAAAGAACAGAGGTCCAGAGCCACAGAAGACACTTGTGCAAGGACAGGCTGACCAGGCCTAGTGAACCCCAAGCCTGAACCTAAGACTCTTGACAACGCAAACCCAGGCTTTTCCCCCTGAACATACTGCCACAACACACACTCAGGTAGTGGAAGGCCCCAATTAGAACAATTGAGAGGAAAATAAAATATCGAGATATAAACTATTCAAGACATGCTTGTAAACTTTAAAACACACTGAAATATACCAAAAACAATTGAACAATGGGAGAAGACATAAAAATTCATCATTATAATGTCATGTTCCTCCTAAGTTAATTTATATATCTAGCATCATTCCTGGGGGTAAAATAAGTAAAAAAAACCTCAACATTTGCGAAGAGAGATATCATGATAGAATGTGTATACATCTGGGGGGCTGGCATTTTGGCACAGGGTTGAGCTGCCGCTTGGAACTGGAGTGCACGTCTGGTCCTAGCACTGCTGTTTCTGATCCAGATTCCTGCTGCAGCCTGGGGGGCAGCAGAACACAGCTGGAATTACTGGGTTCCTGCCACCCACATGGGACACCTGGACAGAGATCCAGCCCCCGGCTTCTGCATGTGCAGCTGGTTATTGAGAGACTTTCAGGGAATGAGCCAGGGGTTGGAAAATCTCTCCCTTCCTTTCATTACATATCTATTTATTTATTTGAAAGGCAGAGTGAAAGAGATACAGGGAAAAAGATGTATTTATCTGCTAGCTCATTCCCCAAATGCCCACGACAGCCAGGATTGCCCAGCTCAGAGCTGGGAGCCAAGAACTCCATCCAGTTCTCCCCCAAGCTCTTGAACCACCATCCACTGCCTTCCCAGGCACACCAGCAGGATGTCGGATGAGAAGCAGAGCAGCAAGAATGCCCAATGGCAGTCCCATATCAGAGGCCAGCCTTGCTAGCTGTGGCGTAATCCATTGTTACTTTCATGAGGCTCCAGCGATAAGAACTGGCAATCAGCAAGCCTTCCAAAACCATGTTGAAGGTATATATGTTGAAATGGAGATCTAGGCTATGGGGACCTCCCAAGTGGGAAAAGCCATCTCTTAGAAATACCTGCATACCAGAATCAGAATTCAGCAGGACCTATTTCCAACAGGACATGTGCGTGCACGAGGAGGGCACTGGCCCGCTAGAAGCAAGTGAGAAGGGAACTGGGAGCCGCCCTCCGCAGGCATCCTGATTCCATTCTGCTCTCCCTCTGTAGTTCCTCGGAGAAGCGTATAACCAAGAGCACCGCGGCTGGCGGTGGGAACTACCCCACAGCCATCACACCTGCTTGCAAATAAGGACACACCCGGCTTGCCCTTCCCACACAGCATGGCCTGGGTATTCCTCCTCCATCTTTATTTCTAAAGCCTCAAAATGTATCAGACACTTATTTTTTTTTCCAAAGTAAAACCAGCAACAGGAGGGTGTATGTGTTTCTGAAGAAGAACCAAGCAGGTCAGCCAGACTATGGGGTCTAGGGAGGAGGACTTCTCACCCAACATCTGTGCAGATTCGGGGACCACACAGCTCTTCTTGCAGCCAAACACGCAGCATTTCTTCTCGCCCGGACAAGACTCATCGTTGACGCACCTTCTGAAGCAGGATTGCTTTCGAAGAACCCTGGGGCATTCTCCTCTCCTCCCTGCAGCAAAAGAAAAGAAAAGAAAAAAGGGCGTGATGGCCACAGAAAGGAGACTAGGATGTCCAGTGCTAGGCAAGGCAGAAGGGGCAATCAGAGGAAGGAGGGAGGAAGCCCTGAGCCTCATTTCAGCTTTCTGACCCTGGTACCAAAGCAAAGAAACAATACAAATAACTAACAGTGGCTGACAATCACAGCAAACCATGACCTTGCACCAGGAAAATCACTTTTGACCCTTAGCTGTTCTAATTCCCCAGATGAGGAACCTGAGACTAAAACCTTAAGATTTTAAATCTTAAGGTTTAAATAAATAAGGTGTTTACAGCTAAAAAAAAAAAAAAATGTGTGATGCTATGGTCTCTCAAAATCCCTACCTTAAACAGGCTTCCTTTCCCAACTCCACCCTCTGGCTTCCCCAGGAATTCAAGTCCAAGGTAGGAGACCTGACAGGCAGAGCTGCACTCACAGAAGGCAAACAGCTGGAGTGCTAACTGACTGATCAAAGGGTGAGGGACCTCCAAAGGAGAGAGTAGTGGGATTCGCTAGGCAAAGGCCAGTCCGGGAGGTAGGTTTGTGTGGGGCAGAGGCAAATCCGGATAGCCCGTGGGGACAGACATTTTGTTCCCCTCAGGCCAACGTACCCTTGGGAAGGTCTCCTCGGCACACCCGCCCACAGCCCGTGCTGCAGCACTTGTGGCCGGCTGGACACGCGTCGTCACCCTGGCACAAGTCTCTGCAGGGGTTCTTGTCAGGAGGACAGGCTCCAGGTTTCACTGCAAAGACAGCACCTCAGGTTCAGTAATGATGGGGTGTGGGAGGCCAAGGGTACTTCCAGAACATTTGGGCTCTGCAGACTTTCCTGTACCAACATTATCTGCAATCATTTCCCCCACCTACCACACAATTGTTCACACACACACACACACACACACACACACACACACACCAGCACCAAAGGACCAGCCAGCCATTCTGCAGATACAATAATGCTGGGGTGATCCTGTTCACACTCCAGGGGCTTTAATGAAAAGCTGGGACCTCTAGATAGGCCAACCAGAAATCCCAGCTCTGTGCTCAGAGCGTTGGAAAAGCCAGAAGGACATGCTGGGCTGTCCAGAACACCGAATTGCCCAGCCTTGTTCTATACAGACCCTCGTCTCCACCAATGATGAACTCCATCCTGAGTAGCAGGGGGAGTGGGGAGAGGAGGAGGCTCGGGAGACATCTCGGCGGATCCCTTCCTGTTCCCACGGGCCAGCCTCCCCCAAAGGTCACTCACCAAGCTCTCCTGAGGTAACCCAGGCTGCCAGAGACGCAAGAACAAACGCCTTCAGGAGGAAGAGGCCACTTATCGTCATGGCGATGCTGAGACCTGAGAGAAGAGCTTCAGTCAGGCCAGACGCTTCCAATTTGCCTCAGGAGAGGGCAGGCCGAGGGCACAGCCCTACACCGAGTCCCCAAGTCTTCTGTGTGCCAGCGAATGTCTCCTCCTGGCAAGAAGCGGCACTGGCTGTGGGTGTGTGAGAAGATTCCTGGCACTACCAAAGGCAGCATGGGATGGCGGGGATCCAGTTCCACGATGCAACACACACAGCACCCCCTGGACACTGACGAGCAATCTAGAACATGGCTGGGGAAAATAGAGAGACGGCCACTGGATAAAGGAACAAAGGGAACCCTGGATGACCACGGCGACAGCTGAAACAATTGCGGGAAGGGATAAAGGCACGACTTCACAAGAAAATGACCAGAAAACAACACTGGCGAAATCAAACAACACTGTGACCCTAGAAAGGACAGAAAGGGCCACAACACTTGGAAATTACCGAGGCCAGAGTCATGCCACAAGGGGCTAAGCCCACTGCCTGCACTGCCTGCAACCCATGGGGTGCTGCTTGGAGTCCCACTTCCTTTATTTCCAACTGAGATCCCAGCTAATTTGCCTGTGAAGGCAGCATAAGATGACTCAAGTCCCTGGGCTCTTGTTACTTGCATAGAAGATGAGATGCAATTTCAGGGTGAGGCTTTTAGCCGCTTGCTCTCACTCTCTTGCTCTGTAACTCTACCTTGCAAATAAATCTTCTTTAAAAAGAACGAGTCTGGAGGGCTGGCATGGGAGCGTGCCATGCTAAGCCCTCACCAGCATTCTAGTTCAAATGCCAGATGCCCCACTTCCACTCCAGCTCCCTGCCTGTGGCCTGGGAAAGCAGCAAAGGCTGGCCCGAGTTCTTGGGCGCCTGCACCCACGTGAAGTCTCAGAGGAAGCTCCTGGCTCCTGGCTTCCACCTGGCCCGACACCAGCCTTGTGGACAAACGTAACAGCGTCCACTGCCACTGCTTGCTTAGTCTTGTGGAGTTAAAGGGCAGCAGACAATCAAGGCACAGGGTAAAACCCCCCTCAACAGGCGAAAGTTTGACACCAGGAAGTCGCCCCCTATCATGACAAAGCTGATTTCCGAGCAGAGATAATGACCATGGGTTGATGACCTAACATTCCCAAGTCCATCCACACATACATTTACACATACAAGATTTATTATAAACCTCCCCCCTCCAGTAATCTTGCGCAGGTAATAAAGCTAATTCAAAGTGGCTTAAAAGAGTCAAAAAGGGTTGAGGCCGCTGTAATTTCCGAAGAGGAATAACAGATGGCAGTGTGTGTGTGTGTGTGTTACGGATTAACTCAGTCCTCACTGCCTCGCTAGTCCCTAAAATCAAAACAGGCAATCCAATCCCAGAGCCAATGTCCCTAACCCCCTACCGCAACCGCTGTGAAGTCATTTCTGTCTAACTGCAAACACGCGTGCTCTCTCGCCTACCCCATCTCGCCCCGCTTGCACAGCGTCCCAGGACAGAGGCGAGAAAGGCGGCGGTTCGGTTCCCCGGGTAACGCCGCGGCGCTCGGCGCCCAGCTTCCGGGCCGGCCGGCGGCGCGCCCCAGTGACGTCACGGAGCCACTTTCCGGCCGGTGGCAGAGTCGAGCTGAAGTTGTGGTTGCCGGGGGGCGCCATGGGGGCCACGGGCGACGCCGAGCAGCCGCGGGGACCCAGCGGGGCGGAGCGCGGCGGCCCTGAGCCGGGGGATGCGAGCGCAGCCGGGCAGCTGGTTCTTACGGTGAGGACGCCCCGGATGAGGCCTGAGCTCGGGGCCGGCAAGAGCCTCGGGCTCCCGGGGACCCTGGCCCGCGGGCGAGAGAACGCGGCGGCTGGTGCTGCCCAAGAGGGTTGGCGTTTTCGCAGTCTCACGACCTGGGTTCAAATCCTGGTGCCGCCCTCTCAGCGAGGTGACGTGGCCGGTTCTGTCAGCTTCCCCCAATTCCCCCCACTGTCCGCTCCTCCAAGTGCCTGTTCTGTAAGATGGAGAGGAATGGGGCCCGTCTTAAAAGTTGTGGGGCTGGGATGACAGAAGCAGGTAAAGCTCCCGGCACTCCGAGCTGCCGCCGAGTGGGCCCTTCCCGGGAAGACCGGACTTGGGACATTGGAGGCAACCTGTTTCCCCGCCCTCCGGCAGTGCCTGCTAACCCTGGCCGCCCCCTTAGCCCAAGGTGGGAGATGCCATGACAGGATCTGAAGGGCAAGAGTGCCCAGGCTTGCCTCCATCCACCTCCACCCCGTGGACGTCAGTGACGTTTGCCCCCCACCTTGGTCCCCGCAGAACCCTTGGAACATAATGATAAAGCACCGTCAGGTGCAGCGAAGGGGTCGCCGATCACAGATGACAACAAGGTAAGGCCGGCCCTCGGTGGACCTCATCCCAGGCACTGGCTTGGAGGAGAGCTTCGAAGCCTCCCCACCCCCACCCTCCAAGTCTGAAAAGGCTTTGGGGGGACCAGGAGGAGACTTGGGTTCTGTGATTATGACACTGACCGAGTCTTTTCTCCCCTCTGAACCCATATACAAAAAGGGGGAGGGATCTATAACGCCCCAGATCTCTAACGTTCACTGGTTCTCCCACGGAGGAGTCAGGTAGCTACGTCCTGAGAGGCCCTAAGCTTTATGAACCTTGCCCCTCTGAGCTCAGGTGTCCCGTGATGCTAAAGGCAGTGAGTGCCCCCTGCAGGGAAAGGAGAGAGGGGCTGGGAAAGAACCTGGGCAGGACTGAGTCCCTGAGGGAGCCATCCCTTGAGGGACCCCCATGGGTGGGACTCAGCTGCAGCCCCCTGAGCAGGACCCAGCTCCCCCCCCCAGGAACCCACCCTGGGCAGGACCCAACTCCCCACAGGGACCTCCCTGGACAGGACCCAACCCCTGAGGGACCCCCTGGACAGGACCCAGCCCCTGAGGGACCCCCCTGGACAGGACCCAGACCCCGAGGGACCCCCCTGGACAGGACCCAGACCCTGAGGGACCCCCCTGGACAGGACCCAGACCCTGAGGGACCCCCCTGGACAGGACCCAGCCCCTGAGGGACCCCCCTGGACAGGACCCAGCCCCTGAGGGACCCCCCTGGACAGGACCCAGCCCCTGAGGGACCTCCCTGGACAGGACCCAGCCCCTGAGGGACCCCCCTGGACAGGACCCAGACCCTGAGGGACCCCCCTGGACAGGACCCAGCCCCTGAGGGACCTCCCTGGACAGGACCCAGCTCCTGAGGGACCCCCCTGGACAGGATCCAGCCCCTGAGGGACCCCCCTGGACAGGACCCAGCCCCTGACCAGCTTCCTCCTGGATACAGCTTCACAGACCCGGCCATCTCCATGGATCTCCTCCGGGCCGTCTTGCAGCCCAGCATCAATGAGGAGATCCAGACGGTCTTCAACAAATACATGAAGGTGAGAGGACACTGGGATTAGAAAACCAACTGGGAGAAAGATTTCCTGGGCAGCCTGTTCCTTCTGGGGTGCTTCACCACTGTCTCCCTTGCCCACTCCCTGTCCCCACCAGAATTTTTCCACTCTTTATTTTTCTCTGAAAGGCAAATTTTACAGAGAGAAGAGAGACAGAGTGGTCTTCTATCTGCTGTTTTACTCCCCATATGGCCACAAGAGCTGAAACTGGGCCAATCCAAACCCGGGAACTTCTTCTAGGTCTCCTACATGGGTGCAGAGTCCCAAGGGCTTGGGCCTTCCTCCTCTGCTTTCCAAGGAGCTGGATCAGAAGTGGAGGAGCTGGCGCCATATGGGAGACTGGGAGTGCAGGCATAAGCTTAGCCTACCACCCCATGGTGCTGGGCCTCCCTGTGTCTGTCGTGTCTTTCTTTCTTTCTTTCTTTTGCCTAGCTATTTTGAGAATAAGATTACTTGAGTGTAATGTGCTTAGCACATGTTTGGAAAATAATCACTGTTTTTATCATTAAATATTAACACTACTAATTATTATTTAAGCGTTATTTCCTTGACCTGTGAATAAATGCTCTGTGGCTCTAGCTGAATGTCCCATGGATGCGTCTAGCTTAGCGTATCAGCACTGACCTCTTTGGGCTTTTTTCTAAACTTCCGTTTTTATGTAGCCAAAAAAGTATTTTTTGAGTGACTGTCGCACTGCCACATGCTTCACTGGAGATGTAGCTGCAAAGGAAACAGAAAAAGTGCTTGGCCTTTCTAAGCAAAGCCATGCCGTGTTCGAGGAGGGGCTGGGGGGGCCTCTGCTGAGAGGACATTGGTGTGAAACCCAGATCGAGTGAGGAAAGAACAAAGCTTACAGGCGCGCGGGAGGTGAGCGGTCCTGCCCAGGGGAAGAAGGAGTGTGCAGAGCCAAGGAGCTAGCCGGCGTGACAGGAGCTCGCTGGTGCGGAGAGAAACGTGCTCAGAGGGGCACCGGCCTCTGTATAAAATCCTATATAAAATGGCCTGCAGTGATGACATAGCCACACTCCCTGTGTGATGGTACTACCCTTTCCGTGTCCGGAAATGTACAGTCCTTTTCACACTTGGTATTCAGATGCAGAAGAAGGGAAGCCACGAGCGATGGGGAGGCCAGGCTTCCACCCAGGACCGCCTCCCTCCGAAGCCCTTGCCTTCCCCTGGGTTTCTGTCCCGGACAGTGCTGGATCAGCCCCATCTGGCTGTGGGCTCCTTGTAATGCAGTCACCTGCTTCTCACATTCACTTTCAACAAGTTGCAAGTGGACTTGATTGCATTGCAGCATTTATTTACTTATTTGAAAAGTAGGGTGACCAAGATAGATCTTCCACACACTAGTTCCCTGCCCAGATACCTTCAACAGCCAGGGCTGGGCCTCAGGCGGGAGCCAGGATTCTCTGCTCAACCTGTGATTCCAGCTGAACACCCTGGGAGGCAGCTGGTGCTGGCTCAGGTCATTGGGTCTCTCTACCCACAAGGGAAACCAGATTGAGTTCCAGGCTCTCAGCTTCAGCCTGGCCCAGCCCTGGCTGTTGCCACATTTGGGGAGTGAACCAGTAGAAGGAAGGTTGCTGTCTCTTTATCTTTTAATAAATGTATATAAATTAAAATTATTTAAAACAAAGGGGTCATTCTACACGTTGTTCTGCAGCTTGACTTATTTCATTTACTATATTTTGCTCACAGTTTTAGGTTAGCACGTAATAGTTTGTCCAGATTGTGCTGTGAGAGGGACAGGGTAGTCTCCTTTGCCATGGGCTTCCTATCGTTTACTTAACTGGACCCTAGAACATGCAGATTGTCTTTAGGTTTTCTTTACTACAGTTAATACTACAGTGAACACTCCATGTGCATCGTTGTTCACTTGGGAATAATATTTCTGCGGGATCAATTCTTAGAGGTGGAATGGCAGGTAAAAGGAAAAAATGTATTTTTCCCCTCAAGAAAATTGCTCTCCGGAGAGGTCACGCTCTGTTGCATTTCGGTCCGCAGTGTTTGAGAAGGCCTCGTTGGTGGGCTGACTTCGTTGTGCCTTCCCGCGGTGGCGTGCACTCGCTCCGTAATGCCCATCGCACTGCTGGTAGCACAAGCTGCTGGTTGGAAATCCAGATTATTTCAGCTGGCCACCACTTAGCCAGGGATCAGTGTCAAACCCTAGTGTTCATATTCATCTCTAGTATTTAGGTATTTATTTGTTTTTGAAGTCCAACTCATTTAATTTGACCTAAGACATTACTCCTATAGTCCTGGGGTCTCTAGCCTGATCCTTTCACACTCTCCCCCTTTGTTGACGGCTAACAAGAAACCTCAGCTCTTGTTAAGCAGCCCATCCCTGCACTGTGTACCCTAGTAGCAGTTTTCCTCCATCCCAGAAAGAACTGACACTTCCCTGCAGAGCCATGATTGGGACTCTTGTGACAAATGCGTATACAGGTGCCTCCCGTAAGTACGAGGGCCTCCCTGTGTCCTGTGGTGTCAACGTATGGTGTTTTCAGACCCAAGCTCACCCTCTTACCCAGTGGGACAACCTTCTGCCTACCCTTCCCCAGCCATCTGCGGCTGCCAGGGTCCCAAGGCCCTTGCCAAATCTCACCCCTATGCAGCCCACAAAGGTTTCTTTGCAGTTGAATAGTCAAGATTCAATCAGAAATTTCTCCTGTCTCTTTTTTTGTTTGTTGTTTCTGGCCTACCCTACCCTGTTCACATAATGCAAAGGTAGTCTTTTTTTCCTAGCAGAAGTAGCACATGTTTATTGTGAAAAATTAAAAGGCCGTAGACAGGGCCCAGTGCGGTGGCCTAGCGGCTAAAGTCCTCTCCTTGAACACACCAGGATCCCATATGGTCACCAGTTCTAATCCCAGCAGTTTCACTTCCCATCCAGCTCCCTGCCTGCGGCCTAGAAAAGCAGTCGAGGCCAGCCCAAAGCCTTGGGACCCTGCACCCATGTGGGAGACCTGGAAGAAGCTTCAGGCTCCTGGCTTCAGTTTGGCTCAGCTCCAGCTGTTGCGGCCACTTGGGGAGTAGACCATCAGATGGAAGATCTTCCTCTCTGTCTCTC